CATTCAAACAAACAAAAAAAACTGAAACAATATCTTTTTATTAAATTTAATAAAAAAACGTATAGTACACAGATGGAAATATTAATGTGTAAGTGAACATATATTTAGTTTTTGAAGATGATATTGAAAAGGTGGCGTTTATTTTGTCAGGCACATTCTTGCAGTCGTGGTACAAAGCTTTTGACAACATTGAGTAACATTTCTTTAGGTATTGCTTTTACTAGTTTTTCAAGCCTCTTACCAACAATACTTTAGTAATATTTTCATTTTTTTCTTTTTTCGGAGGTGTTCAGTTTCTTCTTGTGTCTGGTAGCATAGTTTCAACTAGTGGTCAACCTTCTCATAGTGCTCTTACCTTACATATACCACTGTAGATGTCATGGTATTCCTGTTTAATTTAAATTGTGGGTTATTTTTTGAAACTTCTTTTTTGCTCTTCTAAAAATACGATCGGCTGGTGAAAAACTATATCCGCGTACATCGAAATACAATAAATGCAATACAATAGCCCTAAAAATCAGCTTCTTTCAAATAGTTAAAGAGAGCCGATGATATTTTCACACTGTCTTTTGCTGTCTGCTTCTCTGTTTAAGTGTAGAACATATGGTTTTGAATTTTTAGATCAGTAATACAATAGGTATAAAACCAAAGTTGTCTCGCGTAATAAGCTTCTTGAATTGGACATTTCGGTTGTGGCTGAATTTTTTGAAGATCAAAGTAAAGGTTAACAGAATGAGAAACAATAATTTCCATGTAGTCATAAAAGGCCTTCGCTTTTCTTGAATGAATCCGCTTTTCATTCATTAGCTGCGCCTTTCAGCAGGCTATAATGTTGCACTTTTAAATTATTCTTTGAAAAGGCAGCATGTACTGTAAGTATCAGAGGCAGGTGATTTTAAACCTATGTTAATATTTAGAGCTATAAAAAAGCTTTAAATATACAAAAGATTTGGCACCAGAGACAGTTGGAAAAAAGTATTGTATTGAGTAGGCACTTTTATTCAGGTCCAGGTATTTTCTTTATATTTTTGTTTACCGACCTAGGCCTATGTCTTTTAATTTCTGTTATATGAAGCAGACTGGCAATTATATGGTCTTGTCTTTTCGTGTCTGGAACTTTATAGAACTCTTCTTTTGAAAGCGCTAATGTAAATAGACCTTATTTTTACATACGTAAAATGTTTATTGTTGTGCTTAAATGATACAAAAACTAGGCTCTTGTAGGAGCTACATATTTGATAATTTGTTTACTTTTCCTTTTTTTTCCTGTAACACTTCTCTTTCTAGTCCCTTTATTTCCTTCATCAAAACTTACACTTTCATCTGTTCCATGCATTATTATTTAAATAATAAAGTTATTACTAATTATTTTTAAATACTTTGACAATAAACCCTGACATCACCTCAAATTTGTAAGTCTTACTGGGTCAGCCAAGTGGCAGTTGCAGAGCTCCTATTGGTTGGTTGGAAATAAGCTGGTTAGCATGGACCAGTATAGAGGAAATAAGTTGTTTTGCATGTAAAGGTGGTTTTTAACATGCTTTGACCATGGCTAATAATGTTTTTTGCATGAATTAGATAAAATTAACCACTTTGGCTACAAAAGAACAATGCATTGGCACATTTAACTCAACTTTGATTTTTGTGTGACTTAAGCTTGTTCGCATGTTACCTCCTCAAATAGCTTTACGACTAGCCATTGCGTTGAAGTACACTTAAACTTGCAGTTTAAAATATAACATAACCTCAATGACACTGTCAGAAATTCACTAAAACAAAGTTGATTTAAAGGCACAAATCTTTCTCATCTGTGCCAACACTTCACTAAAAGAAGTGTTTCTCATCTGTACCAACGTAAAAAAACCGTAATATCGTAGAAAAAATTCGTTGACTTACAAAGAACAACAGACATGTTCAATTCTGTGTTCTCCGGAAGAACGGCCCATAGACCTATTATAGACCCTTATTCCAACCACCGCCTCAATTTTGTTTCATTTATAAACAATGTTAGTGAACTCCTGTGGTAGGTGGGATTAATAGTGCTAAAGTATCATAAAATTCAAAATTTGGAGGAAAGTAAAAAAATCTTAAAGAAAATCATAATAAATTGATCAAAATTACGTCTTTTTTACAATTGATTAAATAATTACTAAAGTTTAAAGTTAGCTCTCCCGTCAAATTTAGATTTGGTGACTTACCTCTGAGTTACTCTTATGAAACATTAATGGAATTAATATTTTATTACACTAAGTTTTAATTATGCATCGTTAAAATCCATTCCATAACATATTTTCTTAAAGCTACGAACCGTACTAATACAAATTCTGAGATGGGAGAGTCATAAATAAAGTAATAAAGGAAATTGAATTTGAAAAGGCATAAACGACAATATCCCGCACAAGATTGTTACAAAATTCAAATAAATACATTTTGTTCCTTATTTACACTATAAAGTTGTTTATTATTTGTCGTTTTTAATTTAATCTTTGTAGGATTATGAAACTCTACATAATATCATAAAATAGAGTACCTGTATCTAGCCGTATAAATAAAAGTTACAGAAAAAAAGAAACACAAACTAGTAAAGAGATTTAATTTTTATCTACAGTGTGTAAAAGCCAAATGGAATAAATTCATTATTTAGGGTACTATACATATTTATAAAAAAATCCTGAAACACGTCAAATTTAAATTATAACTTGACGTTCTTTATCGTAAAAATGCAGCCCCTACCTTCAACCCCCGTAGAATGACAGGTACAACCCCCAAATTTTAAAATAGGAAGTATAGGCTTGTGATATATCGTTTGAAAGGTCTTTTCATTCTCCATTCAAAAATGTTGTCTCTTTCAAGTTTATTAAGATTAATTAAGATAAAATAAATTAAAATCATGTGGTTACCGAAATTCGCTAAAATATACTCAAAACTTATTTCCCGTTTAGGTCTTGATAATGGGAAAGTGAACTTTCGTGAATTTACTAATGCGTGAATTAACACGCATTAGTAAATTGTTTTATTTAAGTTGTCATTATTTTAATTTAAATAAAACATTCGTTTAATTCAATTCTGAAAAATGGTTAGATTAACGGAAATGCATAAAATAACAGTTTTACAAATTATTGGTTACGGAGATAACACCCGAACACAACAGGAAGTAACTCGCCTATTTCATGAGAAATTTTTTAATTTACCGCCTATATCCCAAGGAACAATCAGTAAAATAGAGAAGCAGTTTCGCGAGTTTGGTTATGTAAGGCAGATAAAAAAAGCAGCTGCCAATGCACTGAGTGATGAACTCAAATTAGATGTGTTGCTTGAGTTTCAGGTAAATCCACATACATCGAGTAGACAGGTATCCACTACATTCAATGCTAACCATACATCGATAGTAAACATATTAAAAGAAGATAAATTGCATCCCTATAAGATGATACCTACTCAAGAGCTCATGGAAGACGATTTTGATAGGACATTTTTTTTATGAGCAAATGATGGACATGTTGGATAAGAATATTATCCAATTAGAAGACGTTATGTTTTCTGATGAGTGTATTTTTTCACTTAACGGAAAATCCTCACTGGAGAGAAAAATGAGAGAAGAATACACTCAATACAATTAAAAGGTTAATGTTTGGGCAGGGATTGTACGAAACAATATCATTGGTCCCTTTTTCATTGAGGGCAACTTGAAGGGCAACAATTATTTGGCACTACTTCAAAATGATGTCATTCCAACATTGGCAAATTTATATCCTGATCCAAGAAACCCTCAAGTTCCAGCGAATACGATATGGTTTCAGCAGGATGAAGCACCACCACATTACCAACTTAATGTCCGGCAGTACCTCGATACAATATTTCCCAATCGGTGAAAAGGGAGGCGAGGATCGATTGAATGTCCAGCGCGATCACCTGATCTTACATTATTAGATTGCTTTTTATGGGGATATGTGAAGAGCCATTTGTACAAAACTAAATCTTCTGATTTAAATGACTTAAAAGAACGAATAACGCTTGCGATTAGGTCGATCACGCCTGTTATGTTAAATAATGTTAGAAGACAGTTTTATTTGAGATTAGGATGTTGCCAAGACGTTCGCGGTGAACATTTTGAACATCTACTTCATTAACATTCATAGTTCTTTCTCGTGTTCTACATTTTATTACGTTTTGCATTACATTTTAGTTTTTGATTGTATTGTAGCGAATTTCGGTAACCACATAATTTTAATTTATTTTATCTTAATTAATCTTAATAAACTTGAAAGCGACAACATTTTTGAATGAAGAATTAAAAGATCTTTGAAACGATGTATCGCAAGCCTATACTTCCTATTTTAAAAATTGGAGTTGTATCTGTCATTCAAAGGGGGTTGAAGGTAGGGGTTGCATTTTCACGTTAAAGAATATCAAGTTAAATAATGGCAATATAAATCTCTTTGAAATGAGTAATAACAATTAGCACAATTATATTTATGCACTATTATCAATCTGTATTAAAAATTAATGTTTATCGTTTAAAAATAAAACATTAAAATTCTATCATTTACATTCTCACTTGTCTTGAGCTCGTGGTAAAATGGATCGCACATTGGATCAAGGTATTGCAGCAGGAAAAGCAAGTCTTCATTCTTGAGAAAGAAACTTCTCAAGAAACTACTAAATATAAGGTGCCCTTACGAATTATACTAATGGATCAAAAATATTAAAAGGAGTATGAATAGAAGTTACTGGTCCTAAAACCAGATTGTACATAGCTCTTAGAAATACTCCTACAATATTACAACTAGAACTGTTAGTAATATATTTTTGTGCTCAAGTGTGTCTTGTTGTCAAAATAGTGATTCTATTATTTTCCGATTACTAAAGCTATTTCCGTACTCTGAAGACAAATGTACCTAATAAAAATACTGTAATTATCAACAACAAACTGTTAAAATAATATTATAAGTACATTATTTATTAATAAAAGGAAAATGTTTTCTACAAAAACAACTTACCTTCTACAATTAAAGAGAACACACTATTATCATTCTTGTTGTTGACTACACTACAAGTGTAATTGCCTGTATCCTGAATCCTCGTAGGGCTAAAAATTAGCAATTTTCCTATAGAAGTATCTTGTATTTTTGGCTTCGTGTTGGCGCTGAGACTCCCCCTGGGCCCTTTCCACATGACCGGTTGCCCTCCTTTATCTTTACATGAAATTGCTAAACTTTTTCCAGGGTCCGTGGTGACGCTGGAATGGGATAAATAAAGGCTGCTAGCGAACTCTAAAACAAAAACGCTTAGTAAATATTCATGAATGATAAAAGATCATTTTGAAAGTTTTGTGTAATAATTTTGAGTAATAGTGCGCTAAGAAACTTATTTAGGAAATGTTTGTAAACTTCTTTATTAAAACATATGTTTTGCTTTAAAGCCCTAGTTATTAAATTCGTTCAATAATACAGTTACTGGACGTCAGAAAAGAAAAGCAGGTTACGAATATATATATATATAGATATATATATATATATATATATATATATATATATATATATATATATATATATATATTGTAGTTTTGAGTTTCTTTGAACCGTATTATATTTAATATAAAATTAATATTTCTTGGGTTAGGTTCAATAAAGATATGTTACATGTGGAACTAGATTTTATTTTCCATTGCAATTAATCAACGTTTCGGCAGGAAACCCTTGCCTTTGTCAAGATTCTAAAATGTGTATATATATAAGGACAAACAGATATTGTAAAATATGTATATATATATGACTTACCAAAACGTAAAACGTGACACAGACATTAAACGAACTGACATATAAAAGTTGATATCTGATATCTCATTGTTTACTGTCATTAGTATATAATTATTTTTATATGGGCGTATCGTTGATGTTTTTGAAAAAGGTAAGGTGGAGATATATTATGACTTTAAGAGCTTCTTATGATGTTATATTGTTATTGTTTAAATCAGATTGAAATATATTTTATTTAGGTTTTGTGTATCTTTTTTGTCATTTATTGCGTTGGTGTTTCTTTTTATTTCTATTGATTCGTATATCTCCCTTTTCTTTTTGTTTTTTTCTGTTTTTAAAATTTTTAATGTTTTCAAAGTCAAATTTATCGGTCAAACCAGTCAACTGCTTCAATCCAGAATTCGTTCTCACAAATACGACAAGAACAACGTCACTGCGCTCACAAAACATGAAAGCGGAAAGAAGCATAAATTTGACTTTGAAAACATTAAAATTTTTAAAAACAGAAAAAAAAAACAAAAAGAAAAGGGAGATATACGAATCAATAGAAATAAAAAGAAACACCAACGCAATAAATGACAAAAAAGATACACAAAACCTAAATAAAATATATTTCAATCTGATTTAAACAATAACAATATAAAATCATAAGAAGCTCTTAAAGTCATAATATATCTCCACCTTACCTTTTTCAAAAACATCAACGATACGCCCATATAAAAATAATTATATACTAATGACAGTAAACAATGAGATATCAGATATCAACTTTTATATGTCAGTTCGTTTAATGTCTGTGTCACGTTTTACGTTTTGGTAAGTCATATATATATACATATTTTACAATATCTGTTTGTCCTTATATATATACACATTTTAGAATCTTGACAAAGGCAAGGGTTTCCTGCCGAAACGTTGATTAATTGCAATGGAAAATAAAATCTAGTTCCACATGTAACATATCTTTATTGAACCTAACCCAAGAAATATTAATTTTATATTATATATATACATATATATATATATATATATATATATATATATATATATATATATATATATATATAGTAGTTTTAAGTTTCTTGAACCGTATTATATTCAATATAAAATTAATGTTTCTTGGGTTTAGGTTCAATAAGGATATATTACATGTGGAACTAGATTTTATTTTCCATAGCACTCAATCAACGTTTCGGCAGGAAATCCTTGCCTTTGTCAAGATTCAAAAGTAAAACGTAACACGGACATTAACGAACTGTTAATGTCTATTTGAGTTCGACGAAGTTCAGAAACATCAGGTATTCATATCAGCCTGTAATAACGTCTAAAAGAATTTGCCCCATTAGAACAAGGAAAATGGGAAACAGAAAATGAGCATGTCGGAAAATACAAGAGATGTCATACATGTATTGTACAAAGACGTTTGACTAAGTATAACTGTAAAAAATGTAAAAAAACCCCGTTTGTCTGATTCAAATAGACAGCTTTTGCAATATTTGCAGTCGAATATTTACAGAAATATTACAAGATGACATAAATGAGGGAAGGATATATATATATAATAACGGATTGATTACGGCTGTCGCCGCTTCTTCGCCCCCAATTTTCATCTTTTTCTGTCATATGCAGTTGCCTCTTACAAGTCTCTTGCCGCCATTGCTTCATCTATATCGTTGCGCCAACTTCTACGTGGTCGTCCTATATTTCTTTTTTCAGGAGGGATCCATTCCAGTACTCTTCTAGGCCATCTGTACTCTGGTATTCTTTTAACATGTACGAACCAGATAAATTGTTTTCTTTCTATCTCATCATTGATATTTCGCTCCATTTTCATTTCGTTTCTTATTTGGTCGTTTTTAACTCTCTCCAGTTTCGATCTACCGCAGCTTCGTCTCAGATAATCCATTTCTGTCGTCATAAGTTTGTTTCTATTAGCTTTGGTGACGTCCCATACTTCCGAACCATAAAGTGTAATACTTTAGACTATACTACAGTAAATGTATTTTTTGGTTTCTCGTCGAATTGTTTTTTTGCCAGAGAAGAGAGTTTAAGGCACGGATCGCTGTTCTGCCCTTGTTTATTCTTTCCCTGATTTCATCTGCGCTATTTCCCTTCTTGTTGAAAATGACCCCCAAATATTTGCAGAATTGTACGCCTTTGATTTTGTCGTCTTCCAAGACTAGGTCACATATTTCATCTGTTCCCACTGAGAGATATTCACATTTTGTCATATTCATGTCTAGACCTGCCAACTCATATTCTTCTTGCAGTTTTCTTACCATATAGCTAAGATCGTAACTGTCTTCGGCAATTACTACCTGGTCATCCGCAAAGAAAAGTGTATATAGCGTGTTTTCTTCCACCGTTATTCCCATGTTTCTACATTTTTTTACCCATTTTACTAAGGATCTGTCCAAATAGATTTTAAATAAGGTGGATGACAGACAGCAGCCTTGTCTTAGTCCCTTTGTTGTTTGAAAAGGAGCGTGATTGCTTGTCCCATTTTAATTCTTGCAAAGTTTTGTTCGTAGTATTTTTGAGTGGCGTTAATAAGAATTGGGTTTATTTTCAAGTTACCCATTTCTATCTATAGTTGGGAGATCTGTACACTGTCATATGCTTTTTCCAAATCTATTAACGCTTTTATATATTAAAATTTATATGGGTTTCTCTAGCTCTCTGCACTCGTTTTTCCATTGCAATTTTTAATGTGAAAATATTATCCATAGTGGAGCGTCCGGCCCTAAATCCCGCTTGTTCTTCGGGTTGTTTGTCTTTAATATCATTTTCTATTAGGTTTCGTAATACTTTTGAGTATAGTCGGCCTATAGTAGCAATCACTGCGATCCGTCTATAGTTTTTAGGATCCGTCTTTGTGCCTTTCTTGTGTATTGGAGAGTTGTTTCCATTCTTGTGGAACTTCTTTACCGTTTAAGCATATTTCGAATAATTTTCGGATCATTTCAAACTGTTTTGATGACCCATACCTAATCAATTCTGGATGTATTCCGCCTGGTCCTGGAGATATTCTTCCTTCTACTTCCACTTGTTCATTTGTCTGTTTAAACCTTTCTCTTCTCTCTGTTAATAAGTTCTGAAAATGGGAAGGATATAATATAGAACTTTATACTTCTTTACGAGTACTACGTCAGATTGTAGAAAAAGTTAATTAGTTAATGATTTGTATTCGAATGTATTTTAAAGTTTTTTATGTACTTACGTAAATGGAAGACATATAATAAATGCATAGTATTAAAATAAGTTGTTATTTACAATGAAAGGTGTAAACAGCCGCGTAATCAATTTAATACACCGCGTCCATTTCTTTTGGTTTAAAGACTGCGCCCCACGGAAGGTTATATAAAATATAAATAGTCTAGACTCAAAAGTTCGATTTTTTTTATATTTAATCGCACATCCCTTTTCCATTTCGGTTTTAAATTTTCATGCATTAATCAGATTACAAAAAAACCATTTCTGCCCCTGCCTGAATAAACAAAATAGGCCAGTGCAATCAATCATATTCCATTTATATTTTTGGGCTTTATATAAATACTTTAAAGAACGTAATTAATTACAAACAGATTAAGTGGATGTTTTTTTCGTTAATACGGGTCCATAGAGTTTAATCCTTCAATTTGTCTTTTAAGAGTTTAAGTTTTAGGGTATAAAATGAGTCATGTCCCTCTACGTGATAAAGATAAGTATTGATTAATTTAGTATAGTCTATTTTAGCGTCTTTGTTGTGTAAGGCAAATATATAAACGTTTTATGATTAGTTGTGGAGCTAAATGTATTATTTTTTAATCTTTATTAATGCATTTTATTACATTACATGATCAAAGACTAGAGATGTTGTAGAGAGGCTGTTTTAGCAGATAAACCACACTACGATTTGAAATGAGCGTATCACTTACTTTTTTACGCTGCTTACGCTAGACCATTTTTATTCAGTGGCGCCGGCCGACGGGTACTTTAATGACAACAAATGCATTATTCTCCATTTAAATTAGTTTTAACACGAACTAACTGACCGGGCCGTTCATGATATTTGACGTCACGAAGGCGATAACGTTGAAACTAAGTGCCAATGATGAGTACCACGTTTCACTATTAGATTTTAGTATTTTTTAGCAATTTTCTTCAAAGTTGGAACACGGTTTTCTTGATTTTTACTATACACAGAAAGGTGAAAAAAATTAACGATTACAGAAAAAAACTCTTTCAAGTGAAGGGCGTAAAAAGTTTGGTTATAATAGAACGTTAAACAGTATAATCCAATTTTTCAACAAAAGTTTCAAAAAAATTAAAAAAACACCATCATTTTAAAGGCCACATAATTTGGAATAACGGGTCCAAATTTCGAGATATTTTGTCGGTAAATAACAGAAAAAATACTGTCCTTAGGTTTTGGTACACCGATAAAACAGCCTTAATAATAGACAGCGCTTTGCAATATGCTTTTCAGTGCCCATAGAGATCTTCTTTTAGCTGAGTTACATATTTAGATTGCC